TTTACAGCAATATTGTGGTTCAATGCATTTGTAATCTTTCTTCCCTTTCATAGCCCTCTGCATAACCTTCCTATCAAGCCCTTGGAGGGAAAAGAGAAAAAGGGTTAGGTAACTCTTACCAGGTCACAGAATGTGGAAGGACAAACTGTGGCCAAATAATGCTGCTCACCTACATTGGAGCTGTGTCATCTGCACAAACACTTGACAGCCTGTAGATTTCCCAATTACCAGGAGCCCGACCTCCTTCCTCCCCACTAGAACCAGTGCTGCCTCCTGCTCCAGCCGCCGCCCCCTCACACACACACCCCCAACACCTGCAGGTAAGAGAATCTCAGGACTGGTAACTATACGAGTATTGCCCAACAATCCCAGGTCTTCCGTAGTGCTGCCCCTGTGATCCGGTACCGTGAGTTTAAACATCAAGCACATGCTGCTTTTAGAATGAGGAAATTAGCAAACACATTGTGAGCCAAACCCCTTCAGCTCTGGTAACAGGAACCTGGAGCAGGGCAGTACAGTGACTCAACAACTTAGCCCCAAGAGGCTCAGAGCTTCGCAACTGAAAGCCACAAGAAGGGAACAAAAGGAGAAAGAAAGAAAACCTGAGGGAAGGGAGAGGAGTCTCAGGGAGAGGCAGCTAAATAGGAAGACGGAGGAATGAGAAAGATCAGTTACTCAAACAATACTTGTGAAATACTTGCCACAATCCACACATATGAACTCATGTGATCTTTTCATCTCTATTATTGAAAGTACTAGTATTGCATTTCCAGATGGACAGGCTTAGAATCAGAGAAGTTAAACAACTTGGCCAGAAGCACACAGCTGCTGACTGGCAGTTAAGTTCTAAACTCAGAGAGTCTGACTCCAGACTTCCAGACCCCAGACCACACACACAAAATGTATCCCACAGAATACTCTACCCCTCTGGGCAACTGAAACCACAAAAATAAAAACAGATGATCAAAGCCAAAGTTGGAAAATGGTTTATTAAATGAGCCATTTTACTAAAAGATTTCTCCGAGCTTAGTTTTTTACATTGATAATGAGCACCGTGAATCTCCTACAGAGTACATGTGTGTCTCATACTTACTTGCTAAGGGATTGTTTTCTTGAGGAAGCAGCTGCTGGACCGGGTGCCACCTGGAGAAGCACTAACACATATGCGCCCAGTACCATTACAGGAAAGCAGCAACTAACAGGGCAAAATAGCAGGGGCCCTGGAAGCTCTGGACTGGCTGTGGCACTCTGAACCTCAGCCAGCCTCCTGTGAGACCCATTGTGGGGCCTCTACTTCCCCTACCCATGGAAAACAAGAAGCCTGTCTGCCTCTGCCCAGGGCTCTCACCAACTGTGCACCCTACCCAGCCCTCCCTACAGAATGTCTGTCACTGCAGATTTCACCAAGAAAATTTCTCCCCCGAATAACGGTTCCCTTCAGTTCTGAACTGTTGTTCATCCCTTCTGTGAGAATAAATAACACTGAACCATTAGAGGGGGAAGAAAAAGAATGTGCTCCTTTACCCTTGCAAAGCCTTCCTCTGGAAACACGGAAGTTGATGTTATAGTCCACTGACGCAGCACGACTGCTTGGAGATAACCAGCTACGCGCGTGGAGGCTGGGTTCAGAGTGCCAGGTGAGGCACTTTTCTTCTAACCCCCTGGAGTCAATTACAGGATGACAGGTGCCAGATCCATGCAGCCCTGTTGTTCAAAGCTCAGTGAATAACTTTAGGCAGGGACCAGTTCCAGCTAAATTAACTATTTCTTGAATACTTTTGAGTCTCCCATCTATTCACACCAACACCTAAGAAAATCAGAAGCTACAGGGGCATTTTTGAGATCAAGCTAAAGTGCCAAATTGTTAAGTCTGCCCACCTGTGACACCTAGAACCCAGGGCCCTGAGATGGTCAGTGATGACATTGAGGAGAAGCTACCTGAAACCTATAGGTGGACTATTGAGCAAGTATGTCTGGGGGCTCCTAATCACAGCTATTAAATCATGAAACATAATCTTTAAAAATACGGCCTCTGAGTTTGATCCCCGGTACCAAAATAAATAAATAAATGAAAATATGGCCTCACGGTGGCACTATCCTGATCAAGATCTTCCTATGGCTCCCCACTTCCAAGAAAAAAAAAATGGGAGAATGATACGCAGTGCCCTTTGCAACCTGCCCCAAATCACTTTCTGATTATACTATACTAGAACGGCCCATGCTGGGTCTCCTTCTATAACTGACATCTCAAGCCAGGCCAAGTCATTTCCAACATGACGCCCTTTTCACTCCATCCCAGTCCACATGTGTCATCTGAATTCTGAAGATTCTTTTCAACAGGTTCTGCTTCTGCAAAGTACAAGTTTTCTCTTGCTGCTAGCCCACCCTAACCACACTTAATTCTTTCTGCTTAGGGTGGTAAACGACTTTTCCCTGCCACTGACGATTTCCGCAGGAGCTCAGCCATTCTCCTCGTTTCTGGAAGATGAAATACTGCACATCTCCACTGCCTATGTTTTATGTTTCACTGAGTGGTGTCAGAGCTGATATAGTAACCTCCAATTTTTATTGAGCAGCACACAGTGTAACTGATGACGTCTGCTGAGGCTGATATTTTAAGTGAAAGCTATTCTCAGCTCTGCCTGCTCTCCCCACAGCTTTGTGTATAAATAGCCAATAGCAGTGACACCCAAGGTACAAAGTGGGGATACTTGGCAAAGGCCCTCAATTATAGCCCCTGAAGTCACCAAGTCTCTGGGACCTGAATGGCAAGCATGCCCAGTTTTCAAATGTGCAGAGTGGAAAAAAAGGGATGGCAGGGAAAGACTCTGTTAAATGCACTTATTGCTTCCAGGAGAGAAAAATCCTCATTGGGACTTTTAACTATGTAGATCTAAAGACCATATTCTTTTTGGTGATAAACATGTCAGTGTAACCCCCCAACCGAGGGTAATAATCATGTATACCCCCAAATAGCAACTTACACCCACCTGCATGTATTCCCTCCTCTTAACGTAATTAGTAAAAATAAAAATGTCTTCCCTTGGGCAAGATTTTGTACTTGTGTGCAAGTCCTGTAGAAGAATGGATCTGATACCTATTTGATTCTTGGACAAGAACTGATTTCTGGTTCTTAGCTAAAAACCATCAGTTTGCTGCAACTATCAGATGAGTTGCCTTCTCTAAGCAAAATCTGCCAGGGATGCCTGTAGATGGGCTTTTTTGTCAAACACAGATGGGATTGGAGGATATGTACCTAAGAGTATTCTTTGTGAATGAAGTTTTATCTGCTAAAATATTTTTAATTTTTTTTTTTTTTTTTGGTACTGGGGATCGAACTCAGGATCATTGTGCTTGTGAGGCAGGCAGCAGAACCACTGAGCTAAATCCCCTGCCCCAATATTTTTTAAATTTTGATCATTTTCAGAGGAATTTCTGAACACAAATTACGGCCCTCATGCTTAATGTAAGTTATTGTGATGATTCAGTCATTAGGGGAATTAGAAAGCAGTAAGGCTCAGGCAAGCTAAGACAAGTGTAGTCCAGAGGGAACCTCCAAATGAAAGCTTTCCTGCATACCCTGCCCCCTCCACAAAGTCCCCTCATGTCCATTTAAGTGCTTCGTTTTCCACATCTGCACCACAGCCATTAATATAGCCCCCTGACTTATCTTTCTGCTCCCCACTCTGAATTCCTCCATGGTGACTGCCATAGCTCTTTTACTCTCTCCTCAGTACTTGGCTTGGTCCTTGTGCAAACAGTGGCAGTTCAATAAATGTTCAAGAATGCAGGCATGAATGAGCAAAATGTTACACAACTTCAAGGCATAAGATAAATTCATATGTGAAAATTGTAATACCAGTGTTTCTGGTAAGAAAACCAAAGTCCATGCCTAGAATGTGGCTCAGTGGTGCCATGCCTGCCTAACAAGCACAATGTCCTGAGTTTGATTCCCAGTACCAAAAAAAAAAAAAAAAAAAAAA